ACTATTTTTCCTTTACTGCCTCATCTTAAAAAAAAACAAAAACAAAAATACTTCTCTAGGTCAACAAGATAAAACAAAGCCATTCTGCATGTATGTGTATATATATATATATATATATATATATATATATATATATATATATATATATATATATATGGTGGAATAAATCAAACCTTCCCTCCTTCCTGCCTCTCTCAGCTGTGCTTCTGGCTCTGTCTGTTCTTTGGTATCATGGGTTGATCTAACCTGTCGGCTGTGGGAACCCCCTGCTGTCAGACTGAGTCCAACAGGCTGACATCAGTTTGATACACGGGGCTCATGACACTTGGAATAGATTAATCAGTAATTACTCTAACAGTTCTTTGCAATGTTCATATTCCAGTTAGAAGAATAATACAGAGAAATATTCACCTGGAGTAAATGTGCTTTACTTACTTCTTTGATATTTACATTTCTGCATCCTTTGCCACCCGAAGTGTCGAAGAGAAACTACTGCTTTATTCTTGTACACCCTTTGTCTCATACTTGCAAAGACCATACAAGCTACCAACACATAATGGAGGAAATGATACTGATTAGGACCCACATATCTATTTACAGACATGAAGAGATATTTTATAAAACCTGTAAAAGACTTATCAGCTCCACTGTCCCAATCCATCCAGTTTAATCTAACTGCACTATAATGAAGGTTACGTTTTAACCAGCATTGTTATTTCCTGGTGTGAAAACTATTAGTATATAATAAACAGCAGCAAAGACACAGGCTGTGTTACGGGCTTGAAAGGAATATCTGTTCGGTAAATGACTCGCTTTGTAACCATCAACCTGTGCCTGAAATACTGCCCGATCACTTTGCCAGCAAATAGTGTGGGTCAGCTTTCTCTTCCACTCAGAGAAACTCCCTCTGTGCATGGTGAGACTTTCTCTGCGCGTTACCTGAACCGACCAAAGAGATCAGAACTCTACTCTCAAAGAGAAAGTAATGCATCATCGAAAAAGACATTTCTACGTGTTTTTCAAACCACCACTCCAGAACTTTTAGCTCAGATGTGGATCGAATAACAGAATCAAGTAATAAATGCACTAAATTCCGCATAAGAGATAATTCTACTGAGGTCAGAGGATGGATGGATGGATGGATGGATGGATGGATGGATGGATGGATGGATGGATCAGAGAAAAATAGCTTTAAACTGTTTTTAATTGGGTCCTTGCAGCTGTCAACTATCCCGCTGAGCCAAAATGACCCTAACCGTGAAATCCCGTCACTGGATCACATCAAAGTTTTTATAAGCCCATCTACCATATATGGTGTCTTAAACGGGGTCAGTAACCACTTTGTTTGCAAAGGGTGGAGTACATTAATGAAACCGTCAAGCTGGACGACGGGCTTATCAATCACTCAGCTACCTTATCACCTTCAGCAGATCCACAAAGCTTACCCTCACTCTCTTATCAGGCTAATCCGGCTAACTCCAGCACCGACTCTGTGAGCACAGCGGGAATAAATTAGTTTACTGCAACTCTGATTGGATTAAGACCAAGAAGTGAGCCCTGACCCTGTGACTCCGGCAGCTAAAGGCACTGGGCGCTCAGCTTTGATAAACAAGGCGGTTTAAGAGAAAACAAATCGAGGAAATGCATCATGAGCTGTTCCCCTGAAAAAAAATGAACATAAGATTGTCAGTTATATTTGAATAATACAGCTTTGAATGCTTATGCAATGAAAATAACTCCTAAATGTCAAAATGAGGGATTTTAAATGACAGCTGACTTAATAGAAATCTAGAGCAGAAGTCTCTGGAGTCCTTTGTCTGCTCTCCATCAGAACCATCATGGCTGAAACTGCTTTACAATATGAGCAGCATTCAGAGAAACTAACTACACACTCCAGGACAACTGTTTACTCATCCCTCTGTGTTTTTATAAGTACAGATGTGGAAACCGAGATTTCCTACTCCAGTTGGGAAGTCCCAGATGAATACAGATGCTTAGCTGTCACAAATTGACAGACCTGCAATAAAGAAGCAATGACAGCAACACTTCAATAGACTAAAGAGTCACTCTAGGAAAGAGAAACAAAACTGTAATATGAGGAGAGTGAAAGGAAATGAAAACTTTAAAATGCTGCCAAGCTAAGCAGCAGAGTCACTGATGGTTTAAATAGAACACATGGAAGACACAGTTATACCTCTCAGACTTGGACTAATCATGCGTAAAATTGTGACATCCTACTTAGTACAGAGTGAGATCAGGCAGTTCACAGGCTAATGAAATACGAGGACTTCCTGGAGGGGATTTGTTGAAGATGGTAGAAAAAAATATCTAAAGCGATGCTTTATTGAGCTTAGCTCTATCTGATACCCTTAGATCCCAATGCAGAACGGGACGGTATGAGAATCCGACAACATGATAACGCTCGGTAAATAGCTTTGACATATCACTGGCTAGGGGCTTTTAATTTGAAATAAAAAGCACAAAAAACTGCTACTCCTGCAAAAAAATTTAAAAAAATCATAAAACATAATTTAGCCTCATTTCTAAAAACAGTTGCACTTATTTTGATTTAGTAGGATAAATTTTGATAAATCCACTTGATTGAGTAATTTTTTTAACTAAAAATGGACCAAATATTTAAATTTTTACTATTTTTTTTCCCTCTCTAATATACAAAATAACATTATAAGTATGACAAAAAAACAATAGTAATTATAAATGGCAACAACTTCCTAAAATGCCTAAATAAGAATAATGGGTTTTAGTTTCCGCACCATGCTTATCTGTGCTTTTCACAACCAGCCAAACACTTCTTCTTGCAACCAAAGGAATGGCGTAAGAGCCTTGTTCCAGCCAGCTTGAATGGCAGTATGAGGTAAGTGACGGTGACTCTTCATGTTTTCTAACAAATGGAAATATTTCATAAAACAGAATACGTCTGTATTACAACTTGGGGAAAAAAGTGAAGCTACCTATTTTCAGCCAGCTGGGCTGCTGTGTGCAGCAAGTGGCAGGGAGGGAAAAGAATCAAAACATCCAGAACACTGATTGATCAAGTTTTGGTGTTTAAAATAGATTTATGTAATCAAATTAGTCTTTTCTTGAAAAGAAATGGATGGGAAAGTCTCATAGCCTTCTTTCATCCAGCTGACTGGTGGTGTGCAGCGGCGGCAAGGGGAGGCGCCGGTACTCGAGTTGAGGGGGGATGAGGAAGGATGGCATCCCCCTTCTTAAAAAAAAATCTTAAAAATCATCCCTCTTCTTAAATGACCATCCCCTGTGACATTTTATCACTGAGTATGTAAAGTGTCTTCTATATATGAACGATAATGGAAATAATATTGCCCTTTCGACATTTGGCGGGCTGTGTAGCTGTAGGGGCAGTGATAGCCATGCCAGTCCAGGGACTGATTGCAGTTCTATGGTAAGGTCCATTGATCAATGTCAATGACCGGCGAACCTGACATGTAACAATCACCCCATGCATATTGCTTTAGATTAATATACTATATAAATGAGGCAATGTCTGCTTCCAAAAAAAAAAAAAATCCACCATCCCCCTTTTTTTATTTTTATTTTTTTTTACAACTAGACTACTGGGCGGCACTGTAGTGTTAAGTCAGTCAGAGAAATCTTAAGTCATTTCAGCAACTTTTTTGAAACTCCATTAGAAGAAATGTAAACTTAAAAAAACATGGTGTGATGGAGAATGAATTGAAAATTTGGAGGGTGGGAAAAACTCCAATAACCTCCATGTTGATACAAATGCCCACATTGTCCCTAAATAAAAAACTGTAGAAGTCACATGTCTGATCAAAGTACATTTATCCATTTATAGGATGTAGAGTAGTGTTATGACAACCACCTGCTCCAGCCTCCCTTCTTTACAGATAAAGGCTCTGTGGACATTTTTGACTGAATCTAAAATTCCTAAATGAATAAACAAACGCAAATTTCTAAATAAATCTAGAAAGGACTGTAAGCTCCATGCTTGCAACACTTCCCTCAAATCTTTTACTTTCAAATTGATTTTCCTGTTGCACCTTTAACCCCAGAGGCTGTAAAAAACCTCACCAATAGAGTAACAAGCCACTGTTCCTTGATCACAATGATCTTCCTTTTCTATTATGGATCATGGTGAAGCTGCAAGTGCACCCACATCCACACAGTGTCCAGGACCTGCATGAGGTTGCAGGAAAGCCCAGGATCTCCCAGCAGAGCGGGGAAACACCCAGGGAGGGGAGAAAGCAGCCAGCAGAGTCTGACATCATCCAAGTGCGGGCCATGTTCATGCGACGCTTCAGATTCATGCGTGTACGCACAGTTTCTCCCCTCACAATGACGCAAACCCACGCACAGATGTGTAGTTTTCTCCTTTGGGTCATTATCCGGAGTTTCTGCTGCACCATCGGCGCTGCAGTTCACACAGATTGGACCATAAAACCAACCCTGTAACCCACTTCCAACCTAGTATGGCATCTAAAGCACATATGACAGCCAGACGTGGCCGTGCGTAATCACACCATCCACACATCGCACTGCAGATGCCGAGAATTTATCCAAAAATCTTCAACCTCATTCAGCGGTAGTAGGATTTGGTTGTGAAGTTCAACGGGGATTAAGCTGGGATATCTGGAGGCTTGAGTGGAACTGCAGAGAGTCTGGGTTTGGTGTAGTAAACGGGGCAGAACCAGCGGGGTGTCGCTTAAAAAAACTGCAATGCCTCCTGTCAAAACCGCGCGTCCCGGGGAGGATTGTTAACGCAGCAACAGCGGGCGGTTGACTCATCTTCAGCCTCACCTTTTTTTTCCGAGGGGAGAGAAATCAAGAGGAAGAAAGACAGCAGCGGAAAATCTTCAGGCTAGTTAGCTCTACTTCCTTAGCAAACCCCCCCCTAACCCAGCCAGCCAGCCATCCAGCCAAGCAGCGCTGCTTCTCTGGGTCCTTCTCTCCAGCCCCAACATTTCCGCACAGCCCTCCCTGCGCGTCCTGGGACTTACCGCTCTTATATGCCGCTGGTGCCGCTGTGAAGGCGAGACAAGTACAGGGAGGCTGCCGGCCGCCGCTCCGCTGCTCCGGGACAACAGGAGGACCGATCTGCACACTTTCGCAGCCATCTCTGTAGTAGTAAAAAAAAAAAAAAAAAAAAAAAAAAAAAAAAAAAAAAGGAACCCTCACCGGGTAGGAGATTGCTGCGGGCGGACCGAGACGCACAGGAGGGAAGAGGGAGGGTGGTAGGCGGGGTACGGGGCTGGACTTTCTGCAAACACATGCCCAGTGTTACACCAGTAAGCAGAGATTAAACAAAACTCTGACTGGAAACTCATTCTTAAAAAAAAAAAAAAAAAAAAATTAATAAATAATGAAACAAATATTTATGCAATCTAACATTCAGCAGCATTAACTCTGAAGAAATTAAACACCTTTATAAAAACCCTATATTTGCTGTAAAGCTTCTAATGATAATGAAGCAGATGTGATTCCAGTTGTTTATACATAAAATAGGTTTAGTGAGTTTTAGATAATCCTGTTGAATGGGGATATTCAGAACAAAAATAGGCTGGTGTTTTTAATTGGATAATGTCTTATTTGTAAAACCAGAAATGGAGAAAGGGAATCCCTCTCCAGCAGAGATGGGAAGTAACGAAGTACAAATACTTCGTTACTGTACTCAAGTAGATTTTTCTGATATTTTTACTTTACTTTACTACTTATTTTTATGGCGACTTTTTACTTCTACTCCTTACATTTTTACACAAATATCTGTACTTTCTACTCCTTACATTTTAAAAAATTGGCTCGTTACTTTAGTTTTGAATCATTTCAATGGAGTTACCGTTATTATTTTTCACGTCATCAATACCAAATTCAATCTAATTGGATGAGAATATATGTTGCATTTGACGCACCACTACAAGATGAATCGACAGATTCGGCGGTATTCATTAGCGGCAAATCATTGCAGCTTGGTGGCGGCGGCGTTAGCATAGTAGAATGGACGACGAGATGATTGAAAATGAACACAACGGAGATCTAGTCCTATTGGCAGACATCCATTTAAAATGTAGGCAACGGCATGAAAAAAGTCGTTTCTACTTTTACTTTTATAAGTAAATTTACAAGCCTTTACTTTGTTACTTTTACTTGAGTAAAGAAGTTTTATCAGTACTTCCACTTTTACCAGAGTATTTTTTAACACAAGTATCTTTACTTTTACTCAAGTACAGAAAGTGAGTACTTTTGCCATCTCTGCTCTCCAGCAGCCTTTAAGGTATAGAGCAGGTATCCCCATCCTCGGTTCTCGAGGCCCGCTGTCCGGCAGGTTTTAGAGGTTTCCTTGCTCCAGCACAGCGGATTTTAATTGAGAGCTGATTAACAGGCTTTTGGTCTACTGCAATCATTATAATCAGCTGTGCTAAAGCAGGGAAACCTCTAAAACCTGCAGGACAGCGGGCCTCGAGGACCGAGGTTGGGGATGCCTGGTACTGAGGACGATCTATTCTATTTCCTGGTGGATCATCATAATAAGTGGTCTTCCTAATTGTCAATCATTCCGGTGATATGTTTACGTAAGGGCGACCTACGTGCTTGCCCCCAGTTAGCTTTTTCTGCACATGCGCCCTTTCAGGCATATATTTGTGATGAGCTACTGTTTAAGCCGGTTAATGAAGCTCACCGCGTTTTTTTTTTTAAATGGCCGAGTGTCGTAAGAGAAAAAGTGTAAGAATAAAAGAAAGGTCTCAGAAGAGGCAAAGCATTATGGGATTTACTGTCACAGTGGCCCACTGTCACCATTGGATGCCGCTACCCGACAGCAGCGATTAATAACAATGAAGGCGCAGGCACCATGCGGAGGAGGAGGAGGAGTTACCTAACCAACAGAGAGTAAAAAGCAGTGATCATTTGTCCAAATGGTCAGTTAACTGAGTTTGCCATAAAGTCCACTATATAGTCCCCGCTTTATAAAGTGATTGAGGGATTTAGGGGTTAGGGCGGACGTTGGGACACGGTAAGCTTGTATGAGCGATGAGAACAGCAACTTTTCAACAGAGCGTGCATGAGGAGTAATTGAAGGCGTTCCCTCCCGGGAGCCGGTACACGGTTGTGCATGTGCTTTTTTTTTTTTTTTCCAAGTAGAGAGACTTTTCAAAAATTCTCCACAATACCTTTAAGTGCATTGCTCAGGTTTGCACTGACATGTAGCACAGGATCAATAACAAAACATCTCCACTGAGCTATAATAATCTAACCAAATTCTTTAACCTCTCCTTTTTTCTTTTTGTTTACCAGTCTCCTATAATGTATGAACCGGTGACATGTGATATACCCCGGGGTTTAGAAATCTGACTGCCTCCTTTCTGTTTGTTTAGATGGTTTCCCTTGGCAACCTTACACTCAGATGCTGCAGTGTGTATTAATTAACAATGTCAAATGATATGTGGATCAGTAAATCCAAAAAAGTGAGGATTTTAGAAAGCTCACTGCAACAGCAATGCTTATTATGGATTAGTAAGTAGAAGGCTTTTTTTCCTAATGATGACTGTGATAGACTAATTGCAATACTGGACTAATAGCAAATAGGAAAATAATTATAAAAACTGGCCAAGTCAGGTGATTCTAGAAGCGAGTTTATATCTAGTGAAGTTAATTCATTTTGACAGCTTTCCAAAGTAGCTTTAAACTGTTTAAACCCTTATTGTCTGAGTTTAATGTAGAGATGTCTATTTTTAAGATCTACGTTGCCACAGGATGATACATGCAAAGAATCATGAATGATTTGCTGTCAATAGCCAGAGAATCCTTTCGGCTGTCTAAAAATAGCCTGTCCTTCAAGTAGCTCGTGACTACGCTGTGCTCCACAGACAATCCGACTGGATCAGATCTAAGATATTCATGGCATTGAAACTGAAACTTTAAAATCAGTGTTTTTAAAAAAACAAGCAATGGCACGGAAGGTGTTTTTTTTTCTATTGTTTGTTTTTTATATAGAAACAGTGAACCCTTGCAAAAGCTGATAATGATAGTGGTACGAGGTTTTCCTGGAAAAACAAATAGCAAGGAGGCACCCCTCTGAGGAATTTGTATTGCCTAACCTGGACCAAGCCTGCCATAACGTCTTCCTCTGACACACCTGTGTTGGTCGAAGGAGAAACCTGACGCCACAATAACTCTTAGAGTAAACGTGTTGAGAAACTTTTAGGTTACCAATTTGTGTGATAACATGGATTCCTTATTATTACAATATTTATTAATATTACGTGTAATTTATTCTTAAGACAATGCAATATACCTAAAGATGGAGTCAATTAAAGGCTAACAGGGTTATGGTTATCTTGGTGTTGATTGTAATTCTGCTTTGTTTTTGTTTTTTCTTGCCATAACATAGTTACGTGTAATTTTTCCTAAACTCATCCCAATCCCCTCTTTTCCTTTAACAGTGCAAAGCATTTGATCCTTGTGGGAAATGCTATTTAAATGCAAATTCCCAGCCAAGGACAGCAACCCACTCAAGACTAGGGCTGCATTGGTTCAGAAAGTGAAAATCTCTGTGGGTTACCTGGCACACATACACCTTTTACAGTGCATATTAAACATGTTTAATGAATGCAGGCTTGGTTTGATTCAGCACAACATGCAACATCTAGCATACTAGGAAAGGTTTTCCAAAACACAAATTGTGAAAGTGCTCAATAGTTATTTATTTTATTCAATCATTTCATAACTTTCTAGTTTTTATTTATTTTTAATAGATTTTTGTGGTATTAAATGTGACCATCTGCCATGGGATACTCCTTAAAACTATCAGTAACATTATTATTATAAAGCATAATTTTAATATCTTATCACCTGTTATTTAAACTAGTGGAAGAGATTCAGCCCAGTCTTATCAGGTGGTTGTATTTTTCAAAATGAAAAGAATTGTAAAGCCGTCCGGTCTAATTAGAAATCATTAATCACATTCTTAGCTATATATGGGTTGGAGACCCATCTTATCTGAGCGGTGTTCAAAAGTGGAAAAAAAAGAAAATGTAATTCATACCTAAAGTTTAGTAGAGATCATAACCTAGAGAGGCACAAGTTCTTTTAAACCTTTTCTAAGTGCTTTACTCTAACAGCCTAATTTAAAGTCATAGAGATATTTTCACTTTGATTTTGAGATTTCACAAAGAGGAATTCTTTATAAAGTGAAGAACATTATGGACAAAAGTGAGCATCCTCTTCAGAAGAGTGTCTTCAGTCAGAGGGTTCTAAAATCCGACGCAAGACAGACCGATACAGAAGATCCTTCCTGTCAACAGCTATCAACACCAACAACACCTTTTTAAAAAATAACGTATGTGTTATTGCAACATTCAATTTCCCTTTGGGATTCATCAAGTATTATTTAATCAAATTTGAATTGCATTGAAAATGAATTTACATTAACAATTGCTTTAAAGTGTTTAGGGCCGCAACAATTGAGATCCAATGCAATTCAAGTTGGCTAAATCTGCTGTTGGAGATAGATTCTTTAAGTTAAATGTTTCCCCAATTTTAAAGCAATGACTCTACAATATGGTATAATCTCTTTTTTTTTTTATCCTTCTCTACTGGCATATTAAGGTTTAACAACAAGATGAAGTCATGGTGTAAGGAGAAAATTTGAGAACAAGATTAGGTGTGTAGGTAGGTTTGCATGTCTGCTTGTGCTTGCACAGGTTCATGCATGACTGAAACAGGGCTAAGCCTATAGTCTAACAGAAAAGGCAATCCCTAGCAGTGCGTCATTTCTGTTTCAACCAATTGGTTTGTTCTGTAAACTTGGTCTGAATAAGGAAGGGTGTCTTCCTTTTTTATGAAGCCCTACAGACTATGCAGAAATATGGCCCAGCTTTTGTCTACAAGTTATGTTTTGTCTTTCACCTCTTTACAAAGCAAGTTTGTGGATCAAGTTACACCAGTTTTCAACAGCCAAATATGATTAACTGGGAAAACACGTGCTGTTGCTGCAGAGACCCACAGGTTCCCTTATGTTGCTTTTCCAAGTAGCTGAATCAGTCACAGAGACGGCGACACTGTTCCTGATGAAAAAGAGTCACCAAAAACGCTCTGGGCTTTAGCAGGTTTGCTTTATCTTCTGTTCCAAGTTTGCACTGCCATAATGCTATAACAGCATGACCTTAATCAGCCAGCCTTTCTCTGGTA